CTTACCATAATGCCCTCCTATATACCTGTGACAGTCCCTGACAGCATTTCCTTCTTTGTTAAGGCTAAATAGCATTCCATTGAATGTGTCTGCACCATGTCTTACCACTCTCCTGTCAGCACTTGGGTCAGGTTCCATCTCTTAGCTAGTGTGAATAATGGTTCTGTGGGCCTACATATACAACTATCCCTCAAAATCTCTGCTTTCAATTCTTTTTGGTATGTACCCCAAAGTGGAAATACTGGGTCAAATGGAATTTCTGTTTTTAATTTTTGGAGGAATTTCCATACAATGTGCATGGTTCTAGTGTCTCCACATCCTCATTAAAGCTTCTGATCATAGTAGGTTTAAATAAAAAATAGCCATCCTAATTGATGCTGGCTCATTGGGGCTTTGACTTATGTTTTCACAATAACTAAACAATCTCTTCATATACTGGTTGCCCATTTGCATATACTCTTTGGCAAAGTGTCTATTGAAGTCCTTTGCCATGTTTTAATTGAGTAATTTGACTTTTTGTTACTTTGATGTAGGAATATTTTTAATGGTACTTGATAGGTTCTGGCCCTAGTATAAATTGCTAAATCATCATGGTGGCCATCTAATATGACTGAAGCCCTTAAACCAGAAGCCCGTCTTCCCAAGACCATTTCCCCCCTTCTTCTCCAATGCAGCCCAGGGTACAATTCTCTTTCGCCCTTCCCACCGCCTAAGGGAAAACCCCCAATCAGCTCCTTCAGGTATATCTAAACATATCCTTCAAGGGCCGGGGAGATGGCTCAGTGGAATAAGTGCTTCCCTGGCAAGCGCAAGGGCCTCAGTTCAATCTCCAGTTCAACCAAAAAAAAAAAAAAAACCAAAAAAACCCCCACATACCCTTCAAACTCCACCCCTGACAAAAGGTCATAAAAACTTCAGCCTCCCTTTGTTCCAACTGAGAGAATTTCTCATCTTCCCAAATTCTGTGTCCTCTAAGATAATAAAGCCCCCTTCCTGAAAACTATCAGTACTGGAGATTGAACCCAGGGCCTTTATATTAAACTATAATGCAGCCCTTTTAAAAAATTTTTTAAAAATTTCATTTTGTTTTGTTTGAGATAGGGTCTCACTATGTAGTTCAGGCTAGCCTCTAACTTGAGGCAATCCTCTGGTCTCAGCCTCCCAAATGCTGGGAATGCAGACATCATCATGCCTAGCAAAATTTTAAATTTTATTTTTTGGTACTGGGGATCGAACTCAACCTTGTGCTTGCCAGGCAGGCACTTAAGCCACTGAGCTACCTCCCCAGCCCCTTAAATTTTGATGTAAAGCTTTCTAAGTCGCTAAATTGCCCAAGCTGATGTTGAACTTGTTTGTGGTTCTCCTGCCTCAGCCCCTCGGAGAGCTAGGATTACAAGTGTGCACCACCATGCATAGCTGCTTTCTTCATGTTCTAGATGAAGAAACTGAAGTCTCGGAAGTCTCCTAGCTTGCTGACGATCATGCAGGTGGGAGGTGCCGGTGCCCGG